ACTGCCTGGGATTTCTCCATTGGACTTCTCAAGTATTCTTCCACTGTAGAAGCTAGCTTTCTCTGGGGTTAGTGATCTAGCAGGACAAGGAAGAAACCACAATCTTTTATATGACCTAGATGTGCATGTCATCTACTGCTCCTACCAAGTTCAACTAGACACATAGACCAGTGCTGATTTGGTGCAGGAGAGGCTACCCAAGTCTGCATACCAGCTGGAGGCATCCTTGGAGACAGGCGACCACATCACGGGCATTGCCAGGGACACTGTTTCTGGAGCCTCCTGCTGTATTCTCCTTGAAGCAGGTCTGCCTTGATCTGCTTGGCATATTTGTTTTCTTGTAAAAATTATTTTTGAAAATTTGCCTTTAAGAACAACAATAACAAATGAAGCTGAAACTAAAGCAGAGAAAAATAAAGGATCTGTCCTAACTTTATACAGTTGCTGTTGTGGCCCAGATGATGAGTGATTCAACACTCATCTCCTGACCCCTATGTCTTCTGCCCTTGTATGAGTAGAGAATAAAGACAACACCAACATTTAATAGAGCAAAGGGAATCCAGAAGCTCTGAAAGCCTTCGTTTCATCAAGGGGAAAGACTATATCAATGTCTCCTTCAAGGGGAGTGGGGAATGAAGGCAGAAGGAAAGAAAAGGATGCCTGACTTTAGAGAATATATAAGGTCAAAGCATAGTAAATACTCTTTTTTCTTTTTTAAAGATTTATTTATTTATTTATTTACACAAGCACTGGGTACAGTCAGAAGCGCGGGAGGGTGAGAGAATTCACCAGAGCCAGAGCGGGGAACAGAACAAGCAGACTGACCAAGTACACTGCTGAGGGGAGCAGCGGGCATGGCAGGAGAGGTCTGTCGCGCCATGTGGGACCCTCGCCAGTGGTCGGGGATCAACCCGGCGCTGCAGAGGCTGTGGGCAGCTTTGCAGCCCAGCGCTCAACCACTGCGCCACCAGGGGAGACCCAGTAATTACTCTTTATAGTAGTAATAATAATAATAATAATAATGATTTCTGATACGTATCGACTGCTTATAGGATGCCAGTCTCTAGCACTGTTTTTTAACCCTCTTGTTTCATCTGTCCAACATCCTGGGAGTTGATAGTTATTACCCCTTTTTTAGAAATGAGGAAACTGAGGTCCTGAGTAATGCTGTTATAACTTGAAAGATGGGAAAGAGCTTGAGATGGGAGGACTGTCCCTTCCTGTCCTCACTCTGGGCCCCGCAGCCTCTGCGGCTTCTCCCTCTTGCCCAATTCTTGATGTCTTGGCTTCCACTGCAGCGACGGGGCATCCACTGCTGTTTTCTGTAAGACTGAAATAATTTTGTCTTGGGGTCTGTGGTTCAGTGTTTAGCACAAATAATTTAGAGTATGCTCAGAGATTTCCCAAGAAAGGAGCAGCACCCTGGAGGTTTGTAAGATGATTTTAGATGGCACATTAGCAGTACGTTTTGAATGTTAATGGCTGCATGTGTGTTTTAGTAAGAAGGGGCAGTGTGGATTTAAACTTACTCTCTTGCTTTGCTGCCGACTCCAAGCCATGGGATCTTAGGCAACCCTGGATGTTGGGATAACTGTAGGTAGGGATTCTAACCCTCTCCTTTGCTGGAGGACCCATGAAGGTCAGAGAGGTTAAGTGCGTTGCCCAAGGTCACTCATCTGGCCAGAGGCAGAGCTGGGGCCTCAGCTACCTCTCCAGATTTCCAGGAATGTGTTCTTTGCACAGTAGAAGCTGCAGTCCACTTTCTCCCATTGCCTCGTCCCCACTCCCAAATGCCATGGCTCAGGAGTGTGGTGCCACCGGAGGAGTCTGCCTCTACTTGTTTCAGACAAGTGGGGGAAGTGGAGCTCTCTGGTGGAGAGGTATTGCAGATAGATTCAGTGAACACCCCTTGCTCTCTCAACATAATCTCAGCGAGCGCATGTTGAATTTTTACCAGATTCTTCAAAGCGCTGTCAATAGAGCAGGGAATCCGAATGTGGTCCCTGGACCAGAAGCCTCAGAGTCACGTGGACACAGGCCGGCCCTCATGCCCCTGTGTCAGAATCAGAAACCCTGGGAAGGGCCTGGGAAGAATGACCATCCTCATAGTGAGACTCTGATCTGCTTTGATGAGGCACATTCCTCCTGCCTCCCACCCCCTTCTCTCACTGCCACCCCTACCCGAGGGCCCCGCCCGCCCTTCTCTTCTGGACCATGACATCTGGATCCCAAAGGTCTTCAAGAGCATATTCAATGCCACTCCGATTTTCTGCTTCCCTGAGAGGCAGGGCCCGCTGCCATGGCTCCCAGTGATGAATTTATTCATGGTGGCAGGTGTATTGGATGAAACCGAAGAGATTGAAAATTTGTAAAATGTTTGAGAATGTGCGCACTTGTGCTTACATTTAATGGGCCTGTTTTAAAAAGTCCCTGAACCCTGAAGCCAAGACAAAGTTTGATATCACGGAGGCCGCATATATAAATATTTGCCATGCAGAAGAGCCCGGCGCAGCGAGCTTTTAGCCATTCCTGTCCCCTTCCTGGCTGGGACGCCTGCCCGCACGTGTGCGGGCGCTTTCCTGTCCGTCGCCTTCTTGATCTAAACGGTGGCAGTTGTTGCATCGCATTATAGTCTTTTATCCTGCGTCTTTTGGAGACATTATCCAGAGATGAGCGATGGTGTCTTCGTTTTCCAGGTGGGGAAATTAAGACATGCGTATGTTAGACTGAGAAAGGTAGCATTTGTATCCCCGGGCCTTCCCTCACCCCCTGCTCTAAAAGCAAGACGTGATCTCAGCAGCACCCTTGCTTCAGGGCAGGTAGTTCTTTCTTGGGGGGCTGCCCTGTGCCATTTTTAGGGGAACTGCCCTGTGCCATTTTTACAGGGGCTGCCCCATACCATTTTTAGAGCACCTGTTCTGTGCTATTTATAGGGGAACTGGATTGTGCCATTTTTAGGGGGCTGCCCTGTGTTGGATCCACAGAGTGCTGAGCAGCATCCCTGACCCCCACCTGCTCGATGCCAGGTGTCCTGCGCCCTCTGGAAGTGACACCATAAAGGATGTCGCCAACATCCTAGGGGGAGTGAACTCCTCCTGGCTTCCAGCAGAGTCGGTTCAGATCTGGGGCAGCAGAGTCTGAGCTGACTAGTCTGAGGAGGGGCATTGACCTGCTACCAGAAATGTACATGAAGAAACTGTTGGAGAATTCCAATCCTGTCTTTACTAGTGCAGAATTCCCATCCCGTCTCTCTGCGCCCGAGTTTCCTGAACTGTCATATGAAGGGTCAAGCCCATACCTGGAAGGTAGTCATTTGCTCAGTAAATGTTAGCTCTTGGGATGCTTCTCATTCCTTTCATCTCCTCTTGGCTTTCGACTTGACCCCCAGGTTCAAGAGCAGAGACCCTGCAGCCCAGGCTGGGCCTCACTGCTGAGAGTGACGGCTGAGCTTGGAAGGAGCCGGGAATAGAGGGAGAGGATGTGCAGGGGAGCAGTGTGGACCCAGGCAAGGTGGGGTCTTCGAGGGGTATAGGCCCCCCATGAGGATAAGGAGTGGGCGCAATGGGCGTGAGGCTCTGAGACCCCTGCAGGTCTGGGCAAGCCCATGGTTGCAGGATTTCCAAGAACACAAGGATCTAGATGAAGCTCAAGTGGTCACGGTGGAGCGGAGCTAATGATTAGATGGGAAGAGGTCCTGGAAGCACATTGCATGCTTTCATGCGACTCGTCCTGGGGTGGTGAAAGCTCCCTTGGCCATTCAGCGGGTTGGGAGCTAGCATAGACCTGGAACCAGGGCTCCTTGTCCCGAAAGCCAGAGGGGAGCTGCCAGCTGTGAGAACTGCTCTGGAAGTGGCTAAGTGGGGTACCCTGGCAGGGAAGGAAGGGACCTGCCCAACCTGGGGCTGGGGAGAGACTTGTTCTGGGAGAGCCTGGCACAGGCTGCAGTGCGGGTAGGAGGTGAGTTTCAATTCAAAGGAAGCTGTGAGTGGCCCTCAGCTGCTTTGAGAGCCTGGGTGACTCCCAGTCCGGGGGCCTTAGAGCAGCTGTCCACTCTGCATCAAGTCCTGGATCACACAGAGAACAGAACCGGATGGCGAGGAGGTGATGGAAAAGTTGCTGTCAGCAGCGGGCAGCCAGGCTGGTAGGGATTGGCCTTGCCTGGTGGCTTTGAGGCCCTGTAGATGAGTGTCCTCATCACCTGCCACTCATTCACAGCCTGCAGGCCCCAGGTCACCCTGTTTGGGAAGCTCACCAAGCTCTAAGGCACCCAGTTTGGGAAGCAGTGCTCTCAAGGGTGCTTCTGCTGTGATGGGAGCACAATGTGCGGAGCCCTGTATCTGCACTTGGCATCATTCCCTCACTTGCCCTGTGACATCCTGCAGGACGTACATGGCATCTCATGTTGTAGGGGTCACCCAGCCCCCCACTTCCCCAGGGTCTCCCTGGGTAGAAAGATGGCGCTAGCATTCGCGTGCTCTTGACCCAGACAAGGTGACCCAGAGGTGCCCTTCAATCCTGCAGATCTCCGTTTTCTGATGCCATCCCAGGGGGCCCAGAGGTGTTCATGGGCCCGTGAGGAACATGAGAACCTGAGAAACAGCGTTACGGCTGGTTCTCTTGGGGAACCCACCCCAGCTCCAAGCCATCACCTCATCTCTGCAGTGTCTCTTCCTTCTCTCTCGTGGCCAGTTGTCACTGCCTCCCAACTTGGGGGCAGGGGACTCCATGTTTGTCTATCCGAGCTGCCGCCATTTCTCGCCCCCAAAATGTAATTGAACAGAGCCTTAATGGTCTCCAAATGATGATAGCTCCATAAACCAATTAAAAAGGCCTTAATAAAACAGGCTCGAGTTATTTTCCACAGCTGCAGACTGTGCCCTTTGTTCCCTAATGATTCCAGCAAGAAATAGGGGCGGTTTTGCCCTGTGGTGTGGTCTGAAGCCCCAGGAAGGCTGCCGTCCATCTGTCTAACTGCTCGTCCTCTTGTCTTTGCTTCTCAGACCATCCACGTGGCCATCGTGTGCGCCGGGTACAACGCCAGCCGGGATGTGGTCACTCTAGTCAAGTCCGTCCTCTTCCACAGGTAAGGGCGGCTGATGAGCTCAGCGGACACGGGCGTGAGACGCCTGCCTGGGCCTTTCCGTGGGGAAGGTTTAAATAAGAGCAGAATGTCTCATCAATCATTTAAGCTGCCATGAAAATGTAATTTTTGTCTGAAACCCTGGGGAGATTATTGTGTTAATAATATTTAGCAGCAGCCATTAGGTCCTGTCTTGCAGTATTTAGAATTGTCACTCTCAGGCCTGAAGGGACCTTCAAGGACACCTCAGATTTGATGCTTCAATTCCTCCATCGACTTCCCTTGCTGGAATCACCGGTCGTCTCGGTTTTCACATCCTTCTTGAATAGGTTGGGTTTTGGCCTGAGTTGTGTCCCTCCCACTTCAGCCCCCCAATCTGTCTGTGGGAGTCTCAACACCTTGCTCCTCAAAATGTTACTCTGTGAAGATAAAGTCTTTAAAGAGGTGGTTAAGTCAACCTGAGGTCACTGGGGTGGACCCTGATCCTCATAAGAGATTAAGACAGAGACGCCCCCAAGGGAAGATGATGTGAAGAGGCCGTAAGAAGATGACCATCTTCAAGCCCAGGAGAGAGGCCTCAGGAGAAACCAGCTTCTGGAATGTGGAGAAATATACTCTCTGTCCAGGCCACCCAATCACTGGTGTCTTGTACCAGCTTGTGGTATTTGTTATGGTAGCACCAGGCACCTGGCACTGATTGCTACCCTATTCCAACAGAGCGTGCCCCACCTCTGGGCATTCCTGACCATTGAAAGTCCTGCCTTATGTTAAATTGAACTTTTCCAACCTGTAGCTGGTGTCTCTCAACCTGCGTGGATGCCCACAGATCCAGTCTCACGAGCCACAGATTCTTGTCCTCCTGGCCCCCCAAGTCAGCTCTGCTCCAGGCTCAGCTCCTGCCAGCTGCTTTTTCACAGAACTGCACTTCTCTCTCCTCACTATTTTGATTGATATCTGGGCATCCTCAGGGCATATCGGATGAGAATGCCAGATGAAGGGTGGCTGGGTAGGGCTCCACCTTGTGCTGTGACTTGACGCCAGAGGCCCTCTCCACACAGCCACTCAGCCCCCCGTGCATTTTTCAAATCTTTTTGGAGTCCTGTGACCTTCATGTGCCACTGGATATCAGGATAAGCCTTGAATTAAAAGAGGGGTCTCAGCCTTCTGTGTATTTATTCCTTGTCTCCACTGAAGTGCTGGGGTCCCTCCCTGTTTGACAAAAACAGAAGCCCAGTTTTTAGAGAATGGCATTTGCTTAGTTACAGATAGTCAGTTAATGCTGTTTCTCAATCATGGCAAATTTTAAAGTCATAAGAATTTCTGGTGTTATCATTGGGTGTAAATATTATTGCCACTGCAGTGCTATTTAAATCCAGATGCAATAAATCCAATAGTTGTTGAAATTGTAAGAATCCTATTGAGTATAAACTTTTGCTCTTGCAGTAACTGTGGGGAACAAAGATGTTACATTTAAAAATAGCAGTGGTTTTTTATCAGCTGCTGATTTTCACGGAGGCATGGGGGTTTGAGAAGAAAGCAAATTTCTTAGTGTGCCTTATAAAAAGCCTGCATTTCACATCCATGACTACTTGATCTTCTTGGACCAAATAACCACTGGCGTCCGTCCCATCCCTGAAATTCTACAAATGAGAATGATTCTTCGCATTGATATGCTGGTGATAAAGAATTGTGATAGCAAGACAAAAGGACTTTTGAAAGACTCTCAGCTCAGAAAGTCTGGCTATAAATAGCTTCATTGCTTCCACAGCACGTTATGGGGATTAACTAATACATGATTATAAAATACTTTGACAAATGAAGCACCTTCCTAATGTTAATAATAATATAATAATAGTGGTGCAGGATGCTTCTTTTGGCTTTCACTGTTAATTACAGTAATTAGATTTATTTTCCAGACAAGATTTTCAGGAAATTTCATTTAAGGCTTGCTTTGTTACATCAAATCAATTTTACTTCTGCAGTGTGCTCGGGGATAGTGGGCACACAGGATTTTAAAAGATCGTAAAAGAGTGAGCGATGGGTATTCTCACATACTGATGCCAGAACCGACATTGCCATAACCTTTTGAAATGAAAGTTCACAGTAATTATGCCCAAGACTTTGATCCTGTGTAACTACTTTAGCCCCTCAGTCTTAAAAGGATAATATTAACTACAAAAAAAGCTTTTCTGAAATAATGCTTCTAGTTAAGATTTCAATAATACATAAAAACAATAGGATTCAACTGTGCAACTCCTTAACAGTAAACCATGTGCAGCTGGTTTTGAAAAGTCTATCATGGCTTGGGCAAATGATGTAATAATTTATACAAATGATATAAAGTGTGTAGCAACACCATTCAAAAACATCTGCGTAGTGCATTCAACTACACAAACACACACACACAGCAGGGCAAAAAGAGGTGCAGAAAACAGGCATAAGATGGATTTTTGCATACTCTGTTTGGAGAGTCCTCTTGCTTTTGTCATTCCTTTTTATATATTTGTAGCCACCCCACCAGGCAACCTTTGTGGAGAAAAAAAAGGGGCATGAAAAAATCAGTACCAGTTCTTCGGGAGTGAAGTTTCACCTAGTAGCAAATAGCACATTAGGTGTCTGGGTCACATCCATGGCAGGCTGTTTCCAGAAAAATTGGGAAATGCCTGTAACTCCAACCCCACTGCAGATAAACCAGCAGACTGAGTGTTAGTGCAGTGAATAGATGAAAAGATTATCTAGTAGCTGAGTGTTTACCTCCTGGGTAGGAAGGTAGACCAGCTTGTAAAAATTTAATATTTGTTTGTGAGATGATCTACTTACTCTCACACTCTCCAGCCCTGTTGCAGCAAGGAAGAAGCTGGGTTATTTCCCTTTCTTTGCATATCAAGCTGCTGGATTTTTTTCTATTTTATTTCTCTTGTGCCCCTAAAGAACTGGGAGAATAATACAGCATATTTGTGGCGAGTATCTGTCTCTAGTTGTCTTGTTGCTTATTCAGACTTAAACTTATTCTAGAAGGAGTTTTTCGATTGTGAAGGGAGGAACCTACAATTTGAATAGAACAAAGGAACAGAGTAAGTTCTTTTTTTGTTTTTACTTGCTGCATTGATTTTATTTATTTTTTATTTTATGTATTTTTTACATCATTTTTCATTTTTGCCCAATGTATGCATTTTCATCTTGGTGATAGTCCCCGTACAATTCCCACCTCCCCCCCTTGTTTTGATCAGGTAATACTTTTAAACAGGTAAGAGATTTGTATTATTTGATAATGCATATGTATATAGAGAACAGTCATATAGTTCAGAAGCTAAGAATCTCATGGCCCATTGCATTTCAAACTCACCCTTTCCCAGTACGGTAGATGCCATTATCCCCATGAATGGATGAGGACACTGAGGCTCACAGAGGTGAAATAGCTTGTTCAAGGTCACAAGAGTATAGGTGATGCTCCTGGGATTCCAGCCTTGGTTCTGCCAGACCCAGACATCCATGCTGCTTTTACTACAACCCGGAGCCTTTTGATTTTTTTGGAAAGTTGCTCTGTTCGCCCAATGGCAGGCTTTTCTGACATGATACTAACTTGTCCTGGAATTTTTCCATATTATCAAGGCCACAAACCAAGAGCTCACACTGAACAGCCCTCACTCTGGTTGCTGTGTTTTTCTGCAATGAGTTCTATTAAATCTCTAAGTGTAACAGTCACTGAGCATTCAAGTTTCTGTCACGGGCTTGTTCTTTTTCTGAAATTGCAATTCCATTGTAAACTTAATAATTAAGGATTATTTCAGCTCAAATGTCCCTGTATATTTTAATAAAAACAGACCCTGGATTGCCTTATAAGGGCTGTGGCACATTCCTGACAAAATAAGAAAGGAAAGGCAGGAAGAAAGCTGGGGTTTAATCATCTTTGCCTCTTTGTATTACCATATTTATTGCCTCCCAACCTGGAACAGGGGAGCAGTTAAGGAAACCAGAGGCAGCAGGAGCTTTGCTCATTAAGAGCAAAGTCTGCAGGCGCTGCTGAAGATGAGGCATGTGCTTGCTTCCTTCTTTGTTAAAAAAGTGTGATCTGGTCTGTCTGGAATAGTCCTGATGTCTGCAGCAATGGCTGTGTTCTTCTAACCCAGGCAAGCTATGAGGCAACCATTCTCTATTAAGATGTGGACCCAATCTGACCTGTCCAGGCAGAAATCTTTCCTCGTGGACTTAAATTAGTGCTCCAGAATGCAGACATAATGGTGACTGGTATAATAGGCTATTTTTGATGTGGGTACAGATAAAAAATTAGGTAACATTGAGTCATATATTGAGAAAAGTTTTCCTTTTTTGATTCTTCTGAGTGGTTCTTATTATCTTGAGTTGGTGGAACTCACTTTGGGATAAATATGTCCTTAACATCTGTCTAATTCTTGCTAATTTCCCACTCTGAACAAAAGAGAATAGATGGAGGCTCATAGCCTTTGGCTGATTTTGGAATTTGCAGGACCGCTCATTTAAACCTTTTCTTACCTTCCTGAGTTAGAAACCAATTGCAAGGTAAGGCTCTGAAATCACACAGGGAGAATGGAATACTTTTATTGCTGCTAGTCCTGAACTGTAGAATGTTCTTTCAAAGGTGGCCACAATCTCTCTTTTTTGTTCCCATGAATCAGGTTTACCTTGCAGTCAAAAGCAGACTAGACAATTGAGGACTTTCCCACATGAGCAAACCATTTTCTGACAACAAAACCCACTCAAAAGGAAACCCAGGAACATCTGAGCAGACCTGGCCTCTTCTCTCGACCGAATTCTTCAATTGGACCATCTGTGCCCATCCCAGGGCTACTTTTCTGTTTCTATGATTTGTTTATTCCAGACACTCATTTAGTTGAAGTCATGTACTATGTAGTGTTCTGTGATTGGTTTCTGTCATTTAGCATAATGTTTTCAGGGGTAATCCATGTTGTCACATGTATCAAAAATACAATTCTTTTTCATTGCCCAGTGATATTCCTTTATATGGGCATACCGCAGTTTGCTTATCGATTCATCATTTGGAGGCCATTGGCTAGTCTCTTCTTGATGATTATAACTAGTGCGACAATGAAGATTCGTGTATAAGCTTTTGTCTGGAGGCATATGTTTTCCTATATCCTTTGTACATGAGGAGGAATGGATTTGTTGAGTAACTCAGCAATGGTAATGTTACACTAAATTTTTTGAGGCACACTGACCCCTTTGATAATTAAAATACCCAGTATTGCCTGTGTCTTTCTGGATTCACTCTTCCTTCTGAAGAGATAGGCTAAATCAGAGGAACAAAGCTCGAAGGAATTCTTGTAGTTCCCACCTCTAGGGGCCTGTTCCTCTTACCCCGGCTGCGCATCTTCTGCTCTATAACCAGATGAACCTCCCGACATTACAACTTTGATCTGCTGCTGCTGAGCCCTCAAACCTAAGCCCCCAAACCTGCCTGACTCTTTTGCTTAGAGGATGATATTCATAGTTCTTAGGAATTCACACCTCTGGCCTAGCCTGTTATTAAGCCTTTCTCTGTTTTTCTTCTTACCCTCCCAATTCTCAACATAGAGTAGGTGCCCAATGAATGTTGTCCTGAGGTCTACCCTCGTATGACTTTTATCATTTCATGTACATGCTGTGTACATGCCCATTTTGTCCCTTTCTTCATTCTGTTACATCCTGCTGATGCCTTTGTCTACCCACCATCTTTTCTTATCCAAAGGTCTAGGTTCATTGCACGTAATCCATGGAAACTTGCTAGATTCTCCACCAGCAAGAAGTGGGCTCTTCCAGCCTCATTCCTGTAGCTTCTGCACCCATCTTGCAGAGATGTCCTGTACAGTTGTGCAGGCTGGACACCATACAACTGAACCACTGTCAGTTGATTCAAATGTCTCCTGGGGAGGTGTGCCACTCCCAAACTCTGCTGTTGAGTGTGGCATCCCGGTGTTACGGGACACCCATATTCTAATGTTTATATAGTTACTTGTATTCCCTCTTTCTCTACTTCTGCCGGTGGATTCTGAGTTCACTCAAATCCTCCATCCCTGTTACGTCTTACATGTCTGTAATGCTTGATAGATCTTTTTGTGGATCTTTTATTCATTCAGCTCATTTTTTGTGTATGGATGGAGGAACTAATTGGAAATACTTTATTTGAAAAGTGATACAAAAGCAGTAGAGAGAGTAACAATTTCCTAAGTTAATATTGATCACAGTGGCCATACAATCTATAAACTGGGTGGCGCATAAACCTTGGACATTTATTTCTCATGGTTCTGGCGGCTGGGAAGTCCAAGGTCATAGTGCCAATATAGCTTGGTTCTGGTGATTTTAGTTTTGGTTCTGGTCCTGATTCCTACCTGCAGACGGACAACTTCTCATATGTCCTTGCTTGGTGGAAGGCATGAGGAATTTCCCAGAACCCTCTTCTCTAAGGGCATCCAACCCATTCCAGAAGATTATCTTCTCACTGCCTAAGCACCTTCCAAAGACCCCACCTCTTAATGCTATCTCCTTAGGGGTTAGGAGTCAACATACAAATTTGGGGAGGGGGCAAAATGACTCATATCATCGCCCAGCGGGAGTGTAATGCAAGTGTCCTGAGCACATTTAAGGTGGTGAGGCTAAGCTATGATGATCAATGCATTTCATACCGTTTCCATTTGACTCCAGAAGCTTTGCCCTTGTGCAACGTTGTTCTCTGTGTTGGGCGCTGCCTCGGTGACAGCTGGCAGGATGAAGTGGATTGAATCAAAGCTGCGCAAATAGTAAAAATGAGGGCAAGCTGACATTCAGTGGTCGGAGTCCCAGCTGAAGCTGTCTTGGATGCTGGGTTTCATTTTGGGGAGCAGCGTGCAGAAAATGACCCAGTGTGGTGCTGTGGAGCAGCACCTGCCTGCTGTGCCAGCTCCTCCAGCCAGCCTGAGGCTTTATCCTCCGTCATGTGCTGCCCGAGGATGGCCAAGCTGTCACATGTGCTTGACCTCAGATTTTTAGAAACAACAAATACCCTCTAAGCCAGTGTGGTGGTTGGCTTCCCTGTATGGACCGCGGTCATCACCTCCAAGAAACACTGAATTTGGGTGGGACAGCTTAGCCCTGACACCCTCGCTTGTCTTCCCTGGCTTAGTAGCTAGACTGATTCATGCTCACAGTTGCTGATGAACCTGCCCACACATTAAAAATTGCTCCTCATGCGTTTCTGTAGCTGGAATGCCAAAGCCTCAGTTTCCCCCCTGATTCCCCTACCTCTCCCTTCTCGCAGGCGGAACCCTCTGCACTTCCACCTCATCGCCGACTCCATTGCTGAGCAGATCCTGGCGACGCTCTTCCAGACCTGGATGGTGCCCGCCGTGCGTGTGGACTTCTACAACGCTGATGAACTGAAGGTAGGGCCAGGGCGTGGGGCCTCCTTGGTTGCACATGGCTGGGGATTTTCTTATGTTTGACTTAGACCTCAGGAATGACACAAATCTCAGCAACCTGCCGGAAATCTCCTTTTATTTTTAAAAGCACTAAGGACCTCCCTGGTGGCCTTGGGGTTAAGTCTCAGTGCTGTCACTGCTATGGCCTGAGTTCGATCCCCAGCCAGGGAGCTGTCCCACATGGCGCAGCAGACCTCTCCTGTCACGCCTGCAGCTCCCCTCAGCAGTGTTTTTCAGTCAATCTGCCTGTTCTGCTCCCCACTCTGTCTCTGGTGAACCCTCTCACCCCCCGCATCTCTGGCCTACACTACATTTTTAAAAAAAATTAAGATTTATTTATTTATGCATACAAGAACTGGGGTACAGGCCAGAAGTGTGGGGGTGAGAGGATTCATCAGAGACAGAGCAGGGAGCAGAACAGGCAGATTGACTGAAATCTACTGCTGAGGGGAGCAGCAGGCAAGGCAGGAGAGCTCTGCTGTGCCATGTGGGTCAGTTCCCTGGCCAGGGATCAAACTCATGCTGCAGTGTTTGTGAATAGCTTCATAGGTTGTGACTTAACCCCTTGTGCCACTAGGGAGCCCCCCTACACTCCATTTTTCTATGCAAAAATAAAAAAAAAGTACTAACATAATCCCTTGTTTTGGTTTGTGCATTTCTGGCCACAAGGCCTGTAGATTCTGGAGGCCATAAGCCTGGTGTCTAGGAGAGAGTTATGATCCTTTTAGAGTAGCCGTTACTCTGCGATATAAATGCTGGACTCAGCTTTCAGGGCACCTGAGTTTGAATTCATGTATTGTCATTTATTTATCATCAGGCACAACGTAAATAACCTTTACTTCCGTTAGATAGAAAGGTGATTATAATACCAACTTCATGGGATATTTAAGTGGCTCAAATGAAAAAATAGCTGTGGGTGTGTTTTAAGAGACGGTTGAATAAATATAAGAATTATGTTGGGCCAGAGGATTTCAGTCAACTGAGACCCACTTGGTCATGTCACTCCCTTGCTTAAGCCATTCTGTAGTGCCACTTTGCTTACATCAAGATTGAAATTCACCGTCTGATTAAGAAGGCCTGCGTATTCTGCCTGTTCACTCTTCTTGCAGTCTCGTGTCTTGTCATTCCTGCAGATTCACCCGATTACTTAGCTCTAAAAAACTGCCTCTGGCTTTCTGTGTCCTCTCTTCTATGTTTGAGTGTTTGCTTATGCTGTTGCTTTTAGCTGACATTCCCTTCCACCTACTTTGTCACCATTTCTACTCATCATTCAAAACTCAGCCGCATTGCCCCCTCTCTAGGAAAGAGGACGGTATTTTCTCTTAACTTGCCTATCTCCTGCTTTAGTGTAGAATCGTCTTAAGGGGGTGGGGAGGGTGAGAGTATTTCTGTATTCTGAATTTCTGGTGCATAGTTGGTACGCTGTAATGCCTGTGGATAGAGCAAATTGCTATATTATTAGAGGAACATGTAACTTTGCAGATCTCTGTTGATGTTCTATTGCCCATCACCTCAGGAAGGACTAAAGCCCTGAGCATGAGGCTGATTTGAGCAAACGGCTTGTTCCAAACCCCATAAAGCCATTATCTTTCATTTCACAGTCGTAACATTTTAAACAGATCAGAAAGATGCCAGCCAGAGTTTCTGATTTCCTATATTTCAGACTCTGAGGTTGATCGAGATCTTTAGAATTTAGCATTTGGGGATTGTCGTGGTAATTTGTGTGCCATTCCAATCTATTCTGAGCTAAAATTGATTAACACTCTTAAAAAGGGAAAAACAAAATTTAGCAAATTGCTGCACTAATTAAGGTGAAAGCAAGCCACTCTATCTCCCAGGGTCTCAGCGCCAACACCATGGGGAAAAAGCAAGGGGAGGGGAGGAGCTGCATCTGGCAAGGGGGAGGCCTCTGCCTCCCGGATCCTGCTTCTCCTTTCCCTTGCTGCTCTCTGCTGTGTCCCTGGCAAGTCTGTGCCCTCTACTTTGTAGGAAAACTCACTGGGCCATCAAAAGGGGGGGTGGGGTGGGGTAGGAGCAGGGATTCAATAAGTTGACTCAGGAGAAGGCCCAGCAGTGCCTGAAGTTCAGCAGGGTCTTGAAAATGTCCTACAACTCTTTGCAGCCAAGGCAACATAGGAACAAAATGTTCCCGATTGTAATGTTATGAAATCCATGGAGATTGAAGAAAAAGGCACCACGGATTGTCATCTGTTACTAGGACCCCGTGGGCTTCCAAGAGGCCCTGATTTAAGGGGACAGGGAGAGTCTCCCTGGTGGCACAAGGGGTTAAGTCTCAGCATAATGAAGTTATTGGCAGCCACGGCAACACGAGTTTGATCCCCGGCCAGGGAGCTACCCACACGGAGCGGCAGACCTCTCCTATCTTGCCCGCTGCTCCCCTCAGCAGTGTATTTCAGCAGATCTGCCTGTTCTGCTCCCCACTCTGTCTCTGGTGAATCCTCTCACCCACCCCCGCATCTCTGGCCTGCACCCCAGCTCTTTCATGCATAAATAAATAAAAATAAATCTTTAAAAAAAAAGAAAGGGGCGAGGGAGCGGGCCAGACTTAAGTCCATCCTCTTGCTCACTTTATTCTAGGTTGTTCATTCATTTACATGTCAGATTTATATCTATTTGAATTGAAGACTCCATGGCTTAAAGCAGGAGAAAAATTAAAAATAATACAACGTGATGTGTTCCAAGGATATCGACTCCAGAGTCCTGTCCTGTAGGACAACAGCTCCTGGCTGCCCCGAGTAGGGTCCCCAACACCCCCGTTTAATTTCTCAACCAATTAAACCCCTACCGCCCACAATCCTGTATCCCCTGAGACACTTAGGATTCAGTAAAGACAATAAGTACAAAAGCATTTTGTAAAACATGCATTTGTTTGTTATCAATGATAATGGTAACAATAATAAGAATTTTATACATAATCCAGCTCAACCAATCCCAAACCAAGCTCTTCCTACTTCCCCCACCGACTTCTCCTGACTTAGAGCACCACCATCTACTTAGCTGTTCCTCTGGAACCAAGAGTTGTCTTTGTATGGCCCTTCTCTCACCCATCACTAACTACTCCACAGTCTAGGTGACGTCCCCCTGCCCTGCTCTGGGGTGCTGTCCCCACCCTCGTCTGAGCTCTGTGAGCCTTCCCAGGCTTGTCTCTTCCCTTCTGCTCTGCTCACTTGGCCCCCAAATCTATCCTGTCAGTCAGTAGCATGTGTCAACTTTCCCGAAAGCAAGCCCAGCCCCTCCCACCCCTCTCCTCAGATGATTTCCCGAGCTCCTGAGGTGGAGACCACGCTCCTTAGCTGCGTTGGTTTTCCCTGCAACCTCCTGACAGCTTCACCTGTCAGGAGGTGCATCATGGCCCACTCACCAGATCGTCAGACTGACCTGCTCTTCCTCTCCTGCAGGGGCTGGGTACAGGTAATTTCTTTCTTTCTTTTTTTTTTTAAAGATTTATTTGTTTATTTATACAAGCACTGGGTACAGTCAGAAGCACAGGAGGGTGAGAGAATTCACCAGAGCGGGGAACAAAACAGGCAGAAAGACCGAAGTACACCGCTGAGGGGAGCAGCGGGCGGCAGGAGAGGTCTGCGCGCCATGTGGGACCCTCGCTGGTGGCCGGGGATTGAACCGGCGCTGCAGAGGCTGCGGGCAGCTTCACAGCCCAGCGCTCAAACGCTGCGCCACCGGGGAGGCCCCTGGGTACAGGTAATTTCTTCCTCTCTCTGTTATGCTGCACACCCAGCCTGCCTTCTCTGCCCCCTTGCTAATCATTCCCAGTTCTTTAACTTGAGTGATGTTTGCTCAGGGAAACCCTCGGCCTTCATGGGGTGCAGGTGCGCCTAGGCCAGTGGTCAGTGCGTTCATCACAGGGCGGGAAGTCTGCTGTGCTTCCCCCGCTGGCTAAGGTCTGTCTCCTTCCCAGACAGCCGGCTCCAAGGATGCTGGCTGGTGTCTGGCTCTCATCACTCCCGTATCCCTAACACCCGGCGTGATGTCTAGCTGTGAAAATTTTTGTGTAACGAATGCTACACAATCAACTCAGACCCAGAAGCCTAGTAGTTATAAAGCCGCTGGGAAGGCGTTTCTTAGTTACTGTCAGGACCGTCCACATTGCTGGGGACTATGGTGGCTCAGGGCAGGGACAGACAGCCAGGATCTGCCTCCCAGTGGCCCAGCGGTGGCATAAATAAGGCAGCTCCCTCCATACCACCCATGTAAAGGCCCAAGATCGGCTCTGGGACTCCTGCGCGTGTTGCCATGAGCCCACTCACACGCCCCCCCCTGAGATGATAGCCGCGGAAGGGAGCCCTCAAGAAGTGTGTGGGGCAGGATCCCGCAGACGCGTGACAGCCTCCCCTGTCCATCTCGGGGAAATACTTGCTGCAGCTGTTGGAGATGGCACTGCCTAGGAATGCCCCCGCCAGCCCCTTAGGGTCCCTGTTAGTGCCAAAGGAGGGAGTCACAGGGAACAGGAAAATTACTTGCAGCCAGTGCACGATTGAAAATGAGCTACTGGAAATCTGCGGTGGACGGGCCGGGTTCTCTCCATAATGACCAATTAGTGAGGATTTGAGTAATGACTGTTCAGCCTGCTTGTCTCTGTTGTCCGTGAACCGCTCCTTGATCTTCCTGATTTTTCCACGGCCCATTCAGTTCTGGCCTCCATCTCCCCTATTAGCAAATTACAGGGCCCAGGACGTCTTGGCTGCCCGACTCCAGTCCAAGGGGAGCAGCAGTAGACGGGGGGCTTCATCCGTGTGGTGGCACGCCGTCACTCCTGCCTCCCGGCGACAGGGCTGTGGGACCGAGGGAAGTTTTATTACCTCCATTGCACAGCTAATTTATAAATGGAAGCACAGAGTTGAGGAGTATTTGTCTAATATCAGGCAGCTAATAAATGCCGAGGCTGATATTTGACTTCCTCTATCTAAATGAAATGACAGGAGAGA